CAAGATTGGATTGAATGTGGATGAGCGATATGGATGAGGACACGAGGAAATTAATTTGTCGTTGTTGTTGTTTTTTTAGGGGTTTTTGTTTCATTTTTTTTTTTTCTTTCTGTCTTTCTTCTTTTCTTTCTTTCTGTCTTTCTTCTTTTCTTTCTTTCTGTCTTTCTTCTTTTCTTTCTTTCTGTCTTTCTTCTTTTCTTTCTTTCTGTCTTTCTTCTTTTCTTTCTTTCTGTCTTTCTTCTCTTCTATCTTTCTGTCTTTCTTCTTTTCTTTCTTTCTCTTTTGAGTATGTAGTCCTTTCGTGTTCGTTCTCCGTTTGTTTACGTCGTTCCCCTTTATTCGTTATTGATAGCATAGGGGGAGGGGGATGATATTTTTGCTCTGTGATATGGTACAAATAAAGACATCTCGGATACACATACATGCATGGAATCAGTTTTAGACGTGCACACAAAGACAATCAAAATTACACATACATACATACACTCACGCAAGCAAACACATCCGCAAAAAAATATGCATATACTAAGAAAAAAAATACACACACTCACTCCATCAGACGAATGCACTCACAAGCAAGCGCATATCTGCTTTTCCTTCCCTCCAAAGCACACTTCAATTTCTCCTTCCCTTTTTTTATCTTTCTTTATTGATAATCCCATCAAGAAAAGAAAAGAAAAATTGGCCCGCGCCCCACGAGAGCCAGCCAGCATCCAGTCAAGGGCCGCGCACCACATGGCCAAAGTAATGCAGAAGAACCGCCGCTCTATGTGTGGACGCCGATGACAAATGGCGGGAAAGTTGGTTATGGACGACCGCATTAGTCACTCAGAGACACTAATTGCGCTGGTGCTTGAACCGTTATGGCTCTTGAACACATACACGCAGACAGGCACAAATGCACGCATTCACGAACAGACCTTGGGCATAATCACATGCACGGACATGGACGCACACACACACGCACACACACACACACACACACACACACACACACACACACACACACACACACACACACACACACACACACACACACACACACACACACACACACACACACATATATATATATACACACACACATACACACACACACACACACACACACGCACATACACACACACACACACACACACACACACACACACACACACACACACACACACACACACACACACACACACACACACACACACACACACACATATATATATATACACACACACATACACACACACACACACACACACACACAAACACACACACACACACACACACATACACACACACACACACACACACACACACACACACACACACACACACACACACACACACACACACACACACACACACACACACACACACACGCACTTGAGGAGAAACGGAAACCGAACAGAAGCAGAAACAAAAGCTAGGGAAGGGGAATGGAGCCTGAAAGGGAGAAGAAGAAAAAAAAGGAAGAAAGAAAAAAAAAAGAAAATTAGGAAAGGCAACAATAAGAACAAAAGCAAGAGGAGGAGAGACGGAATCTTAGAAAGGGATAAAAATAAATGAAGTGGAGAAGGGGAAGAGGGAGAAGGAAAAATTGGAAGAGGAGAAGGGGGGGAGAGTAAAAGGGAAGAATATGAAGAAGAGAAGGAGAGTGAGAAAAGAGAATCGGAAGAAGGAAGGAAGACTAGAAAGAGGAAAAGGAGGAGAGGCATAACCAAAAATAGGAAGAATAGAAGGAGAGGGGAAAAGTGAAGAGGAGAAAGGGGGGAGAGGGAGAAGGAAGAAAAGGAAGAGGAGGAGGAGAGGGATGCGCAAAAGTAGGAAGAAGAGACAGGAGAGAGAGAAGAATATGAGTAAGAGAAGAAATGTAATAAAAAAGAATACGAAAAGGAGAAAGGGAGAGGGAGAAGGAAGAATAATGAGAAGAGAAGGGAGAGAGAGAAGAAAAAATAAGAGGAAGAGAAGAAGAGTAATAAAAAAGAATACAAAGAGGAGAAACGGAGGAGTGGGGAAGGAAGAGAAGGGAGAGGGAGAAGAAAGAATATGAGTACGAGAAGAAGAAGAGTAGTAAGAGAAAGAAGGAAGAAGGAGAAAAGGGAGGAGTGAGAGAACGAAGAATAGAAAGAGGAAGGAGGAGGAGGAGGAGGGGGGAAAGGGAGAAAGAGGTAAGGTTTCGCCTCATGATAAAGCATAATCCTAAAAGCCGCCTTGAAGTTCCTATCAGTTTAGGGAAGTTCCAGAGTTGTCTTTTGTGATGGGAAAGGGGAGATAGGGGGAAGGGGGAGGAGAGGGAAGAGAAGGAATGGAGGAGGAGGAAGGAGAGAGAGGAGGGAAGAGGGGGATGAGAGAAGAGGAGATAGGGAGAAGGGGGAAGAGAAGGAAGAGAAGGAATGGAGGAGGAAGAAGAAGAAGGGAAATGAAGTGGAGGGAGAGGAGAGAAGAGGAGATAGGGAGAAGGGGGAAGAGAGGGAAGAGAAGGAATGGAGGAGGAAGAGGAAGAAGGGAAATGAAGTGGAGGGAGAGGAGAGAAGAGGAGATAGGGGGAAGGGGGAGGAGAGGGAAGAGAAGGAATGGAGGAGGAAGAGGAAGAAGGGAAATGAAGTGGAGGGAGAGGAGAGAAGAGGAGATAGGGAGAAGGGAGAGGAGAGGGAAGAGAAGGAATGGAGGAGGAAGAGGAAGAAGGGAAATGAAGTGGAGGGAGAGGAGGGAAGAGGAGATAGGGAGAAGGGGGAAGAGAGGGATGACAAGGAATAGAATAGGGGGAAGGGGGAAGAGAGGGAAGAGAAGGAATGGAGGAGGAAGAGGAAGAAGGGAAATGAAGTGGAGGGAGAGGAGGGAAGAGGAGATAGGGAGAAGGGGGAAGAGAGGGATGACAAGGAATAGAGGAGGAGGAAGGAGGGGAAAGAAGCGGAGGGAGAGGAGGGAAGAGGTGGATGAGAGAAGAGGAGATAGGGAGAAGGGGGAAGAGAGGGATGACAAGGAGTGGAGGAGGAGGGAGGGGAAAGAAGAAGAGGAGATAGGGAGAAGGGGGGAGAGAGGGAAGAGAAGGAATGGAGGAGGAGAAGGAAAGGAAAGGGGAATAGAGGGAGAAGGAGAAGTGAAGAAGGAGGAGGAGGAAGGGGAAAAGGGGAAGAGAGGAAAAAAAAAGGAATGGAGGTGGAGAAGGAAGAAGGGGAAGCAGGTAGAGGGAGAGAGGGAGGAGGAGAAAGAGAGGAAAGGAGGAGGAGGAGGAAGAAGGAGAAGAAGGTAGATGGAGGGGGGAATAGGGAAGAGAGACGAGAAGGATTGGAGGGAAGAGGCAGTAGGGGAGGAAGGAGAAGATGGGGGAAGAGGTGAAGAAGGAGGAAGAGAGAGAGACAGGATAATGAGTGGGTAAAAGAAAAAGGAGAAGAAGAGGGGAAGAGGAAAAGGAAGAAAGAGGTGTAGAAAGAGGAACATGCATACATACATACATACATATATATGTGTGTTTGTGTATGTGTGTGTGTGTGTGTGTGTGTGTGTGTGTGTGTGTGTGTGTGTGTGTGTGTGTGTGTGTGTGTGTGTGTGTGTGTGTGCGCGTGTGTGTGTGTAAGAGAGAATGATAATAATCACGATAATAACAACACGCAAGTAATGAATCGGGAAATAATCACCGTTGCAGAGATATCCCCAAGTCTGTCCCTTTGTTGCAAAAAGAGACATGGAAAGAATCTGCCAGCTGGTTATTGGCCATCTGCGGCGCTGGCTGCTCCTCGCCATCACTCATGCCCATTTCTTAGTGTCGCTTGGGGGGGGGGGGGTAGTCTGTGGCATTGTAGGTAAGCAGGTAGGTAGACAGGCAGGAAGGGAGGGAGGCAGGAAGGCAGGCAGGTTGGTAAGTAGGCGGGCGGGCGGGCGGGCGGGCAGGCAGCGGGAGGGACATGAAAGAGAGAGAGAGAGAGGGAGAGAGAGAGAGAGAGAGAGAGAGAGAGAGAGAGAGAGAGAGAGAGAGAGAGAGAGAGAGAGAGAGAGAGAGAGAGAGAGAGAGAGAATCATAAAGGGAGAGAATGCAAGAGAAGAATCTAAGAATGAGAGAGAGAGAGAGAAGAGACAGAGAGAGAGAATGAGAGAGAGAGAGAGATAGAGAGACACAGAGAGAGAATCATAAAGGGAGAGAATCCAAATGAAGAAACTAAGAATGCGGGCAGGCGGCCGGGCGAGAGAGCGGGAGAGACAGATAGATTGCGAACGGGAGGTAAAGCCAAGGTTTGCGTCCCTCGCTTTTTTCGCCATATTTTAACTTCCGGAGTAAACACAATTAGGGAAAGTCCACAATCTATCACCCTACTTGCCCGCGTTTTGGCTTTTCTCCGGACTTCTTGCTCTCACCTTATCGCTCTCCTGTTATTTACGTTGCCCGCTCACGCGATTTTTCCGTGCTGTGATATTCCTTTTGTATCACACAGACTGTACACACATATGCTTATTCATATATATATGTATATATATATATATATATATATATATATATATATATATATATATATATATATATATATATATATTTATATTTATATATATATATATATATATATATATATATATATATATATATATATATATATATATATGTTTGTATATATGTATATGTATATATGAATGTGTGTATATATATTTACATATACATATTTTCATATGTGTATGTATATACATATGTATACATACATATGTATACACATACGTATACATACATATACACATATATGTACATATATATATATATATATATATATAGAGAGAGAGAGAGAGAGAGAGAGAGAGAGAGAGAGAGAGAGAGAGAGAGAGAGAGAGAGAGAGAGAGAGAGAGAATGTGGAGAAACCGTAAAGGCTGGAAAGTATTCTCCAATTTTCTTTCTGTTTTCTTAATTGTCTCCTATACGCGGGCAGAATGTCCCTGTGCCCAGGACTGTAGGGACGGAAGGAGTATGGAATGAATACGTAAATACTTCTGGGGAAAAAGAGGTGGGGATGGAAAGGGGGAAATGGAAAGGGGAGAAGGAGGAGAGAGAGGGTAGAGGAGGGAAAGAGGGAGGAGGAAAGAAAGGGAATAGGAGACACAGGGAGAGAAGTACGGGGAAGAAAAATGCGAGGGGGAGATTAGGAAGAGCGAAGCGGAGAGAACGAGGAGCGAGGCAAGGAAAAGAAGAAGAACGGATAGAAGGAGGAGGATGAGAAGGTGAGTGGAAAGGTAAAGAGAGAGAGAGATCGACGCAGAAAAGAAGGGAACGCAAGAAGATAGAAAGAAAGGAATGAGAGGGGAGGGAAAGCGAGAAAATGAAAATATTTATACTAAACCCAATTTACTTTCGCGCTGTCCTGGCCGTCTCGCGCTGTCTCGTAATTTGCGAGAAAAAAATGCCGGGATTTCTTTTACTTTTCCTGACGAATCAAGAGACAGAGGGAAAAAAATATTAAACTTGTAATCCTTTACGAAAATATGAAAAGCAACGTTTTTTTTTCTTCTTTCTTTCTTTTCGGAACAGAGCTAGAGTAATGTGTGTGACAAGTTATCCTTTTTCAGTCCAAGATGACAACTACTCAGTGCTGGAAATTTATTCTGAGGCGCTTGTCATTTCACACACACACGTACACATTCCAGGCACACATGTAAGTGTACACTGATTCATGCGTGTATACATGCACACATATACATGCATATAGACATATACACTGGTATGCTTGTAGAAAAGGCATGAATGAGAATGAATATCTTCACAGAACAGGAGATTTGTTTAACCAGTTTCGAAAATATTATCGAAACCGGTCAAATACATCTCTTGTATTGCGAAGATATTCATTCTTATTCATGCATTTTATACATTTGTCAACATGAATGCGGTGCACTCGTATGCTTGTTAACAAAACGTGTACATTCAGGCAAAAACACACACACAAAGGAAAGCCAGGATTTGATTTATCTAAAAAGGGATTCATAAAAAAAATAAAAATAAAAGGAAAATAAATGGTGTGTGAATATATAATTACTGTATTTTACCTCAGATAATATTTGCTTTGAAAATTGAACTGAAAGGAGCTTTAGATAAAAAAAAAAAAAAAAATATGCAAAATATATTCCATGTTATTGTTCGCATTCAAAGGAGCAGCGATTCATATATATATATTTTTGTCTACCTTAGATTTATTCTTTAATTTCTTATATGGCTTTACCTTTGCAAGAATGAAAGCTTGGGTGTATGTACCTTTTTTTTCTTCAAAAAATGGTCTCTTTTTTCCCTCTCTTTCTCTATTCCGCATTCATAACATTCTATCATATTTTTCAGGTTGGATATAAAAACTGAAATATCTAAATTTAAGTCCACATTTTTAAGCTGATATTAAGCATAATCTTATTAGTATTAAGAAGAAGACTAATGATATCATTATTGCTATTATTAAAGTTGTTATTGATTTTTCTGTCATTATTTTTGCTGTCGTCATTTTTATTATTATCATAGTTATTATTATCACTGTTATTATTATTACTATTATGATAATAATAATAATCATTATTATCATTATTATTATTATTGTCATTGTTATTATCACTGTCATTATTATTATTGTTATTATTGTTATTATCATTACTATTACTATTGCTATCTTTTATTTATTATTATTATTGTTATTATTGTTGTTGTTATTACTATGATGATGATTATAATAGCAATGATGATTATAGTTACAATTATTGTGATAATGATAATGATAAGGATGGCAATAATACTAATGTAATAATAAAATAATCATAATGAAGGTAATCATAATAATGATGATGATGATAATGATGATAATACTACTGATAATAGGTATTATGATAATTATCATAATATTATCATTATGATAATAATAATTATCATAATAATAATAATGATAGTAACAATAATAATAATAATAATAATAATAATAATAATGATAGTAATAATAATAATGATACTGATGACAGTAGTGATAGTCATAATATTATCATTATGATAATAATAATAAAGATAATAATAATAATAAAGATAATAATAATAATAATGATAATAATAATAATAAAAATAACAATAATGATATTGATATAATGATAATAATAATAATAATAATAATAATAATAATAATAATAACAATACTAATAATGATATAATAATAATTATTATTATTTTTTTTTTATCATTATAGTGATAATAATAATAAAGATAATAATAATAGTAATAATAACAGTAATAATAATAATAATGATAATAAAACTATTAGTAATAATAATGATGATGATAATTATGATAATGATGAAGATAATGATAGCGATAATGATGATAATGATTGTAATGGTAATAATATTATCCATAATAATAACAATTATAATAATAATAGTAATAATAATTGTAATAACGATAATTACGGTTATAATAATAACTTTAATAATGATAATAACGATAATAATAATGATAATGACAATGGTAATAGTATTGACAATAATGATAATGGTCATAGTAATGACAA